AGACTCTATTAAAATACAGTTAAAAAGAAAACAAATCCCAAACATACCAAAAACCACAACTGAAAAGCTTGACAACACGTCAGTCCACCTAGCGAACATCCAGTGAGGTAGATCTACACTTCCAATACAAACTTCGTCACGTCTTTGTGCTGTTAGAAAACACCCTCCTCTCTGTCCAGCACTGGGCTACAGAGGCATTTTATCCCTGAGATTGCTCCAATACCTGAGAATAAGTTGCAGGAATTATGTCCTTTCTCTCTCTTTTTTTTTTCTTTTCTTAAAGATTAAAATATACAAAAATACAAAAACAGAATATTTATATTAAAAAAAAAACCAAAACAAAACAACCCAAAACAAAGACGACAAACAAACCCAAAGATACGTCATTCACGCACGGCCTAGTGCAGGTTTCACTTGGCGTTGGCTTCGGCACGGCCGGGGGGCTGCCCCGGGAGAAGGGCTGTCCACCGGGGCCAATAAATAAAGGCAAGACTTGGGGGGCCGGTGGGGAGGGAGGACAGCAGCCGCTAACGACCTGGGCGCCCTTTTCCTCCGCCCCCGGGGAGGCTCAGCCCAGGAGCCATCGGTTTCTGGAGCGTGGGATGGGCAGAAGGAGCAGAGGCGCGTTTTTGTCCTGCGTGGGTTGGATCCAGAGCCCGTGGGACGCCCCGGGCAGCCGGGTGTCTGGACGAAGCCACGGCTGGATCTGCCTGAGCCCCGGGTGGGTTGCGTACACGGCCTCCGAGGGAAACGCTGCCAGCAACGTCCCCGGGAGCTGGCTCTGCCCTGAGTCTGGCGCCCAAGGCTTAACGAAGAGCATTGCAGCTCCACGAAGCCCTCCTGCTCCCCGGCTCCACATTTCGGAGGCAGGGAGAAGCCTTAGAGGGGAAGAGCTGGCTGCATGAAACACCGTGTGCTCTCTGGGCTGGCGCTTGGGAAGGCTTAGGGGGGAAAAAAAAAAAAAGTGTTTTTCTTTTGACTTGATCTCCCCCAAGCTGCAGCTTGCAGCCCACGAGCAGGCGGCAAGCGTTAGCCCAGCCCCGAGAGATGCCCCATTGCCTTCCAGACTGAGCCCAAATCTGGGCTCTGCTGGGTTCAGCAACGGGGCGACCACGGAAAAACTGCAAATCCTGGCACCGACCTGCAAGCGAGAAGGCACGAGGAGCAGAGGGGCCCGCGGGGCCGGCCCACGGGAATCTCCCCGGCGCTCTGCAGCCAGCCTTCCCCCCGTGGGGCAGGCGTCGGAGCAGGTCCCCTGCAGCTCATCCAAGCTGTGCCGGAGCCCGTCCGGAAGCTCAGGAGAACAAGGACCCATGAGCTCCTCCCTGAGATGTTGCTTCTCTGCTCCTCCTCCCAGAGACACTACTGCCTGGCTTCGTTTAGGAAAAGAATAAAGATGGATCAAATGTGTTTTCTTTTTTTTTTAGCTGGAAGAGGTGTGTTGGGTGCTGCCTTCCCCTATTTTTGGAACGAGCCATCCTGATTAAAGCAGGGCTTTCCCCAGGCTGGGAACAGGGGGAAAAGGTCTGTGCAGGGACACCGGGTCCCCACCGTTGGCACTGCTGTCTTCCCTCCCCAGCCCTCCACCCTGCCCTCCCTCCTCTGAGCCCCCGCGGCTGCCCGTTGCCTTGCCAAAGCCTTTTCATCCCGGTGGAAGCCCCCCCCTCCCCGCCACCCGCCATCATTCCCGGGTTTCGGGGAGGAGGGCCGAGCTGTGCATGTCCTCCTCCTCTCGGAAGTAGGCAGGTTTTCCCTGGGAGCTGGGGGACTGCTGTGCTTTCGCGGGGCAGTTGGCGACCATGTGGCTGATGCTCTGGCAGAAGTGGCATTTCTTGGGCTGCGGCGGGAGCTTGCACTCTTTGGCATGGTGGTCCAGCCCGCCGCAGTTGTAGCATCTGCGGGGTGGGGAGGAGAGAGATTCGAGGAGGAGAAATAAAATGAGGTGGGATGCTGCCGTGGCCGTGCCGGGGACCCATCTGGCTTCGCAGCCAGAGCTGGGCTTAAAACGGCCCGGCCGCCGCGGGGATGCGGGGTCGGATGGTGGCCCTGGGTTTGGTCCCCACAGAGCCCCAGCTCCAGCACGGCCAGTTTGGACCTGGCTCAGTGGTGCTGCTGGTACCCAGGAGATGGCAGCAAACCCCCGCACTGAAACCACGCACTCGGGGACAAAAATCGGGGATCTCGGGGGGCTGCCACCCCTCTGGCTCCATCATGGGTCTGGCTCCTGTGTCTGCAGACCCTGCACCCAGGGTTATGTGCTATGGACCAAAAGCCTGCGGCAGAGCAGGAACGACTGACGGCCCCAGCCGGGAGAACGGCTGCAGGGACCGTGGCCATCGGCGTGGGGACAGCCCCAAACGTGGGGTCCCTCGCGGCCGTCCCCTTGCAGCACTCGTCCCCCAGGTGCCACCTTCGCACCAGAGCGGTGCGGGCAGAGGGAGCTGCCTCGTGTCCATTTTAACTCCTGCGTCCCTCTAGGACAGCCACAACCCTTTTCTCTTTCCTTTCCTTCCCAACTCCTTTCCGACTCATTTTAAAACCCATTTGTGGGAACAGCCGGGTGGGGCGGGCAGCATCTGCTGGGAAAGCCGGGACGAGGCATCCCCGGGCAGCCAGGATGGAGAGGATGGGAGAGCAGAGGGGGGACGAAGGGCTGGCCAGAAACTTGCCCCGGGGCTGCCAGCCTCACCGTGGGAGACGCTGCCAGGACGTCCGGCCATTTCCTTCCCACAAGGAAGGGTTTCTCTTCGAGAAAATTACCCCAGCGCAGCGCGGCTCCCCCAGACGAGGGGAGCGGCCGCCCGGGGTGTCCCTGACCTCTGCCCTTTCGCTGCTGGGTTGCTGCCCTTTCCCCACCAAGCTGCATCTGCCACTCATTAACTGCCGAAGGAAGCCGCTTTCCCAGAGGAAGGGTCGCTGCCCGCCCCACCAGACCCGAGCCCGTCCCCATGCCGCAGGCAGGGTGCCAGGCAGCTCCTGGTGCCCGCAGGGGCCGGACCCTGCCCCGGATCAGGACCCGGCCGCCCCTTACCGGTCTCCTTTCGATCTGCGTTTCTGGAGGCTCTTGCCCTTGGGTCTCCTCTCGCTGCCGATGCAGAAGACGCCCCCCGGGCCGGTCACCCGGATGGACTCCAAACCTTTGGACGACTTCTTGAAGGTGAACTCGACAGCTTCGCCCTCCTTCAGGCTGCGGAAACCCTCCATGTGGAGCTTGCTCTGGGGGGGCACGGGGAAAGGACGGGGGTCAGCACCAAGCCGGCGTGTCTGCTGAGCACACGACAAGCCCCAGCCCTGCAAGCGCCTCCCGTGGCACGAGAGCTGCCAGCGTCCCCCCGTGCCTGGCCCTTGGGAGGGGCCGGACATTGGGGACCGAGCTCGACCAGGCACCTTCATCTCCCTGAAATCTCTGGAGCCCCATTTGATAACGCAGAGCTGAGTGGGGCTCACTGGTTTGGCAAGCAAGAGCCGGCAGAGCCAGCTCTGACCCAAATTCCAGCAGTTTGCCGCAAAACGCTGGCACTCAGCACTGCAAAACAGCCCCCTTCTCCCACCCAGCCCCGCGCTGGGGCGCGAGAGCTGCCCCTGCACCTCCCGACAGCCCGGGCTGGGGATGCTCGCGGGGAGATCCAAAGCATCATTTTAAGAAGACAAAAGGCTCTCGAGGCTTTGCAAAGGCACGTGCAGCCCCGCTCGCGGCGGGACCGCAGCAAGGCCAGGAGCCTGGAAGCTGGTGCTGCCAGCCCAGGGTCCCAGCCAGCCCCTGCCCTGCAGCCCCCTCACTACAGCTCGCCTCGGTTCAAGCCTTTTAAATGCCCCCAATAATTAATTAAGCAGCCGTTTGGCCCTGGATCATCACTGCTGGGGGCATCTCCTGTCCCTCCCAGGATCGCCCCATCAGTCATCACCGTGCAATCAAACTCGGGAGTTCAGACCCAGGCTGTGGAGGGGGGAGTGAGATGACAGAAAAATCCACCCCACTTCCATGAGCTCCATCCATTTTAGCAGAACAAATTCGTCAGGAGCCGAGACAGGCGATGCAGCCGACGTCTCTTGTGCCAGCAAGCGCGGCCGGGAGCGTCATCACTGCCTGCTCCACGGGACCAGGACCGCCGTATCCCAGGCAGAGATTTGAGCAGGGCTTTCGCTCAGCTTCGTTAGCGGAGCCCAAATGAGCGCGAGCAAAGAGTTAAGGGGGATTTGCTGGCAGAGGGAGGAGCAGCCCCAGCAGGCTGGGGATTCCCGGCAGAGCCGGCGCCAAGACCCTGCATTTATGAATGGAGCATCTCCCCCATTCATGGCCCGGCGAGTTCCCTTCACGTGGGCTGCGGCCGCCCATTCTTCCCGCACCGAGCCTCCGTGGGCACGCTGCCCGGGGACGAGCAGGCCCGGCCGGTTCCCCTCTCCCTTCCCATCTTCCACCCCCAGATCTCCCCAGGACCCACGTGGAATCACCCCACATAAAAGCAGAGAGGGAGGAAATGGAGTTGTTGGGGTTTAGGATTGAATTTCTTTCGGTGGGGTCTTGCAAGAGCCATGTGTGTCCGTGGGCACACGAGGGAAGTGGGAACGCGGCAGAGCTCGGGGCCCAGCCCTCGAGGCCCCTTTTTCTGCTGCTTTTCCCCCCCTTCTGTGTCTGGGGCCCAGCTCCAGGTGGGAGAGACCCCATGGGCTGGGCCCAGTCGCCCCATCCGTCCAGTCCATTTGCCCACTGGGACAGGGCCCAGGGCAGTCTGGATGGGATTGCCAGAAACCTTTGCTCTCTGACCTGCTCTTGCTCCCAGAAAGGAGAGCCAAACCACGAGCTACAAGGTCCCCAGCAACAAGGAGGACGCAACAGGAGCTCAGCAGCAACCTCTGCCCATCCAGGGCTGCTCCAGGCAGTCCCATCACCACCTACCGCTGGCAAACACCCTGCCACGCTCGGCGCAACAGCCAGACACGGCTCCCCAACCCCAGCTCAGCTTTCCCCCGGTGCTGGGCACCACTGGGAGGACGCTGAGCATCGCTGGGAGGACGCTGAGCATCGCCCAAGCAGGAGCTCTGTGTCCAAAGCAGCTGCCAGCACAACACAGGAGGTGCCCGGCTCAGCCTGAGCACCTCGGGGTCGGCCACCAGCCCTGCCCCGTCCGTGCCGCCCCACCGGCCCCCAGAGCCCCTGTGCGAGGTGGTTTGGGCAACGGGGGCTGCCACGGACAGCGAATTTGCCCCACTCCAGCAGCAGCCGCAGCGTTTTGGGGTGAGAAGGAGCTGAGCATCACTCTGTGGTGAGCATCACTCCATGGCGCAGGAGGCAGCTCCGGAGGCTGGGGGACGAGAGCCAGCCGCCTCCCACGGATCCGTACCGGGGGCTTACAGCCCCGGCCGGCCCAGCTGTGTTTGCTCTGCGGAGATGAAAACTCCCAGGCGCTCAGCCCCAAGCTTCGGGACAAAGCCGCGCCGCGGCAGGGCCGACACCAGCGCCCCAGCTGGGCCCCCCCAGCTCAGCCCACGCCTTGGGCACCATCATGCACGGGCAGCCAAGCTGCTGTGCGCCCCGTGCCGGGGGTCCAGCTCCTTCCCCCCGCGGGCCGTCCGTCAGCCCCACTTTGAGGAAGAGGAGGGCTGGGGCAGAAGCTGCCGCAACATGACGGGGGAAGCGATTTATTTTCCAGGAGCGGGCGAGGATGACAACGGCCCCCCCGGCCCCCTCCGCCAAAAGGCCAGAGGAAACGCCCTCTCCCCGGGGAAGGAGAGGGGGGCAGCGGCCGGGGCACCCCAGCTCTCCCCCCGCCGCAGCCTTTTGATGTGAGCTGCAGAGTGGCTGGTGGTCCCTGCGCATCCCCCCTGCCCCCTTCCCAAAACACACACATTGCTGGCATTCCTCTGTTATCAGATAGGTAATCAAACTGCAGCCCATTGAATTAGCTGCATACCTCCTGCATCTGAAAGGAAGGGGCCCAGAGCCCCTGTCCCACACCACACACAAAGCCGGAGCCTTCCCAGGCCTCCGCACCCCCCCCCAAAATAAAGAGAGGAAGGGGGGGCTTGGAGTGAGCCGGGGATGCTGGGGATGCGGGGGAGCGCAGGGGAGGGCCAGGGCCGGGAGCCACCGGCCAGCGAGAACAAAGGGCCGGCGGCGGCCGCGCTCCCGCTGCCCAAATTCCAGGAGTTCCAGGCCACGGCGGGGGGAGGAAGGGTGGCCGGCATGGCCGGGCCCCTCTGACCCCCGCAGCCCCTCCGCGCATCAGCCCCGCACCCAGCTCACCCGCTGCGGCAGAGCCGGGCCTCGCCCATCGGGTGCTGGGCTGTGGGGTCTGGGTGCCACGGCGGAGCTGAGGGGTCAGTCCCGGGGGGATGGGTTTGGTGCGGGGGGTCTAGGGTGGCCCTGGGCTCGAAATCACAAAGCATTGCCATCCTCATAATAAAACTCTTCTAAAGCATAGCCTAGCGCAAGGATTTCACTTGTCATCATTAGGGTCCAGAGTTAACCAGCAGGACAAGGAACAGAAGCAGAGCTGGCATCACTTTGCCCAGCTCTCTGTGGCCCCCGGGCACCCCCTCGCCAGGCGTCACAGCGGCACCTCTCCACTTTTCCACCCGTCCCTCCAGCTCTGCGGTTATTTACGGCAGACAAAGACGCAGCACATGAGCGGCCGAGCGCTGCCCACTGCCCCCACGGCGCTGGGTGTCCCCCACCCTCACCCGTTCCCGCTTCCCCACCTGCACGTGGGTGCCTCCATCCCTCCTCTTCCTCCCACCCAGCAAACCCCTCATCGCAGATCCCAGCGTCAGAGCTGCTTCCCCTCCCGTGGGGTGGCACCGCGGAGCGCCCCAAATCCGGCGGCTGCTCCCCAAACCACCGGGCTCCGCTTCGCCCCCGCGCCACCGGGCTCCGGAGGGGCTCGGCCAGCCCCAGGGTCACCATTGTCCCCGCGGCCTCCCCAGCGCGGCACAAGGGAACATTTATTCCCAGCCAGCCCTGGCCACTCAATCAAACCATCTTTGTGTCCGGAGGGGCCTGGGGCGGAGCGGCCGCTGCACCTCGCCTCTTCCCAGCGCGGGAGCGTGGCGGCCGTTTAAACTTAAATCCCTCGGGAAACAGGCTGGGTTGGGATGCTGGGTTCGGAGCGGCTGCAGGAACGCGAGCAGCGGTGCCGAGCTGTGCCGGGGTATGGCTGGGCCGTGCCCAGAGCATTTTGGGCAGCCCGACCCCACCGCAGCCACTGCCCGTGCCTCAGTTTCCCCCACTCCACAGAGGTGAAGCAGCCGATGGGGGCCAGGGAAGACGGACGCCCCCACAGGTCCCGGCACTGGGTGTGGGGATCGCTGAACCCGCAGAGGGTCGCTGCGCCCTGTCACTGCACCCCACCTTCGCCCGCAGGCTGGGGGCACCCTGTGGTCCCCTCTGCTCAGCCTGCACCCACAACAGTACCCAGGGCACCCCGGCCACCGTGCTGCCCCGCTCACCTCTGCACCCCTCTGTCCCCCAGAGCTGCAGCGTCCCTGTCCCCCCAAATCCCTTGGTTTGTGCCAGCCAGCCCCATGCCGCTGCGGTCGATGCAGCAGCCAGCCTGGCCGGGGTGCAGGGCAGCCCGCAGAGCCCCGGCCACCTTTGCCCTGCCACGACCCCCAGACCCACCCCGGGGGGATGCAGGTCCCCAGGGGAGCAGCCCCAGCCCCCCCGGCCCCGCAGGGCTCAGGCTCGGCACAGCCGGTGCAGAGCAGCCCCTTCCTCAGCTCCTGCGCCGGGAATAAGCCGGTGTGCGGGGGGCTGACGCTCGCCCCGTTTTTTGGGGCATGGCTCCGATTGCCACCGGGCGATGCCATCGCCATCCCATGGGGACGGGGCAGCCTCAGCCCAGCTCCGAGCCCTGCTGCGGCAGAGAGGTCTCCTCTTGCCAACCAGAGCAGATTTCAGCTGGGTCAGACTCTGCCGACGCGGAGCAGTGGCCCAAGCCGCCGTGCCGCAGCAGGGCCAGCTCAGCTCCCCGCCGCCAGCCACGAGGCCAGCAGGAAAACGTCCCTTTGCCTTCACAGCCCGCGCCTGGATGCGTCCCCGAGCCAAGCCCTTCCCTCTCCCCAAACCACGCAGTGAATCTTTTCCCGGTGCCGGCGGCTCAGGCGCTGGGGGACCGCGCTGCTGCTGGTTTTGGGCTCGTGCGCGTACGGCCCAGCGCAGGAATCGCCCCGCGGCCCCTTCCTGCGGCTCAGCCCCCGCGCAAGCGGCCGGCGGGCGCTGCTGGGGCAGGGGATCCTCGCTCAGTGCCGGGGGCTTGGCGCAGAGATAGAGGGTGATGCCTGCGGGAGCCCGCCGGGGAGAGCACGGGGGGGTTAACCAAACATTGCCAGGGCTTTCCAGTCTCTCCCTACTGTCACCTGGAGCAATATCCCCAAGGATTTTTTCCCAATTCAAGTAAAACCAAAATAAAGCCACTTTCCTGCCAAAGTAACTACGCTTGCTCTTAATTTTCCACCGTAAGCCAGCAACATTAAACACCAGATACTAATTCTGGGGGAAAAAGTATCCACCGAGGAGTTTAATCCATCAGCTGCCTGCCCTAAATCCACACCTTCCGCTGTATTTTCCCCACCCTGCGGGTGCCGAAGCCTCCCGCGCGTCCCAGGAGGCAGCTCATTAGGGTTAGCTGCTGCCTATTAATTTCATACTCCCATAGCAAAGCAGGGGCACGGCCGGGAGCAGCAGTGCCCCTGCCACCGCCGATTTCAGCTTCATCCCGCTTCTTCTTAGGGCCAAGTAAATCGGGAAAAGGAAACACCGGAGCTGGGGGCGGCAGGGCAAGGGGCTCGCTGAGGCAGCGGCTCCATCCCAGCCCGCCCTGGCCCCGACGGGAGCAATCCCATTCATTTGGGCCATTTTATCTGGAGACCACTGAAGGGTGTTTTCTCTCCCTGCCCCTCGCCCTGGGCTGAGAGGGGGAGCTGGGGGAAGGGATGTGCCTGCAGCCATCAGTTAATCTTTAGACAGAGACAGGAGGCTTTTTTTGTGCGCGTCCTGAGGGAGTTTCAGGGGTGGAATAAAGCCGCTCTCTATACAGTTTTATTCTGGTAGTTATTTAAAAACAGCAACAACAAAGAAATTGCTCCTACCCGTCTCCCCCGAAAGCAGGGATGCCGGCCTGCGTTTCCACCCCAGGGGTTGGCGTAACCCCGGTGCTCCCGGCTCTGCAGCCACCCACGCCGGCGCCCTGGGGTGCCCACCCAGCGCTGCGGGGTGACCCTGCTCCCGGCGAGCCCAGGCAGGAGCGACGCATGTGAGAAAGCAGAAAAAGTGAGATATTAAACGTGTCCCGTGCCTCTGCGAGCACCACGGGTCCAACGCGCCGCCTAACTCAAACCCCGCTCGGAGCGGGTTCCCCCTTCCCCTCGCTGCCACCCCAGCTCTGCACAAACCGAATCCCCCAGCTGGACCCTGCCCGTCGCCCCAGCCCTGGGGACGGGCAGCGGGGGACCCCGCGGAAGGCTGGACCCTGATCCCCGGCGGAGAAATCCTCCCTTGCGCCCCTGCCTTTGCTCTCCTGCGCGGTCAGGGATGGAGCTGCCTCGAACACGTGCTTTTTTAAGGCCTCACGTCACGCTCGCACCTTGGCTGGCTCCGTCCCTGGCTGCGCGCGGAGGGACGGCACGAGCGCAGGCGGGTGACAGCCCAGGTCAGCTCAGCCGAAACCCACGGCCCAAAGGCAGCCGTCACAGCAGGCGTCACCCCCCTCCGCGCCGTCCCCTGCCCGGCCGAGCGGGGATGGAGCCCCTCCGCCAACCCCGACCCCAGGAGGCTCCCGGGGGATGGCAGCGCCCAGGGGACCGCGGGGGGACTGAAGCCCCTCCGGTGCCCACGGTGCCCTGGGCACTCGGGCAGGGCAGGAGCGCCACATCCCTGCCCCAGCGGATCTAACCACGGGCACAGTCTTATGTCCCCACAAGGACACGTGGGACCATGTCACCGAGATGCCACTGAGACGCCACCAAACACCCTGCGGCCACAGCAGCCGCGGGGTCGCGGCGGTGCCCAGAAGCTCTCCTTGCCAAAATCAAGAGAAGGAACAAAAAATAAAAACCGAAACAACAGCTACCATTGCCTTCGTCAGGGCTTTAGACCCGTTGGCTCGGAGAAACACTCGGCGATGCAGAGCTGAGCTGCGCGGAGCAGCGGCCCCCAGGGCCCGGGCAGCCACAGCCCCTTCCCCTCCTCTCAGCCAGGGCGAGCGGGGGTTTGCGTGGGCTGCAAACCCCAGCCCTGCCGGGCCCTCGCTCCTCCTGCTCCAGCCAGCGGCTCTGAGCCCTGGGGCCACCAGGGGCCCAGATTTTGTCCTCTCCCTTTCCAGGTTTCCCCACACTCCTGTAAGTGATGCCCAGAGCCATGGTGCGAGCCCGGGAGCCGCATCCCTGGGGACCACCACAGCTTTGGGGTCTTCCCCAGCACCAGGCTGGCTTCTGCTGCCTCGAGACCCCCACCCTTTCACGGGTGCTGCTCGCCCTTGGCCTCCCCGGGAGGACCTGCTCCGCTCCTCCCTGCTTCATCCCGTCTCCTCACAGCCCCCAGATGAATCCATCTCCAGTGTCCAGGGGAGGCATTTGAACCCAAGTGCCTCATTTGGAGCTCACAATGCGGGGCAAGGCAGCCCCGAGGAGCCCTGTTAGTCTCCTCTCCTGCCGAGATTTTAATCTCTTTGTGATCAGATAAAGGGAGAGGGAGATGGAGAGGCGCTCCCCGCAGAGAAGGGCCATTCAGACCTGGTTCCTGTAATAAAGTGATTTAATAGATCTAAAGAGGCCAATTCCCTTCTTTCTCCCGCAATTACTTCCTGTGGGTCATCATTCACATATGTAAATGAAGAGGGGAAGGAGCAGGTTCTGGGGGGCTCTGGGGTGTTAAACCCCGATGGCTGGTTTGGGGCACCTGTGTGGCGGCGGGTGCTGTGCCCAGCACCCTGAGCCCCCACCCCGAGCCCTGTGGGTGCTGTCCCCACCCCCCTGCGCCCCCACCCCGAGCCCTGTGTGTTGTCCCCCCCCGGCCAGCGCGGGCTTTTGCCCTCCTAGGCCTGACTCCCCGCCCGGGAACGGAGCCGGCTGCGGCCCTCAGGCAGCGCCGGGTGCTGGGCTGGGCGAGCAGCGGCAGAAGGGCCCGCTGTCCCACCAGCACCCGAAAGCAGCGGGGCCAGGGTGGGAGCCTGAGCTTGGTCCCTCTGCGA